CGTACTGATTGCTTAATCTGCGACCAGGCAAGCTTCCGACAGTCCATTCGGATCACTAGCAAACTGACCGAAACAGTCGTTTTCCTTTCTGTTCATGCTTTGATGATGACCGATGGCAATTAGATCGAAGCGTTGGGATATCTGTGAATGCAAGTTTTTAGTGCTGCAAATCATGGAATCAGTAGAACAATCCACGGCGCAATATCTTTATGCTGTTTACTAACTATTTTACTTTTTAATTATTTTATTGAGCAGCCGGTGATAATTTATCATAATTTAATCATTTATAAGATCGGTAACGTTCTGAACTATAAGGCAATTGTTTTTTCAGTAACATTACTAAGTTTTTATTAAGGATGTGACTATTGTAAAACCGATCATTTATGGCAGTACGGCGACGTTCTTTGGAAAGAAGCGTGAAGAGGACAATCGCACGCACAGCTGGTCTCTTTATGTGAGGCCTTACTACAAAGAGGTGAGTAGTCATAGATTTATAACATATTATGCTATGAACGAATCACGAAGTCGTATGCTAATGTCTAATATGACGAAGAAGTGCAAAAAAAGGAGTAGCTCACAGTGAGGAATAAGATGAAGAAGAAAATTTTGCCTTTGATGCAGATTATTGGACATAGTTCTGAAGCTGCTGTGTTCTTGTCGTCTGAACTGCGTGCATTCTCTCTTCAGAGTCGATTCGTTGCATTACTTTTAATATTCTACTTCATACATAAAAGGATTTGGAATACGTTTAGGGCAGATTTTCGTTTATTTCAGGCATTGTTTTATGGCTCTCTTCCAACTTGTCACTTTAAGTTGCATCAGTTGATTGTATTGTACTATACTTTTCTCATAGCTACGGTTTCAGGAATATATTCGCGCTTTTAAATGAATGCCTTCAAGAGGGCGGTATTTTGATAATTTTGCCCCCATTTCCATCCTAAAACAAAATAATAGTTCTGAAGACTTCTGTTTCTTTTACTTATTCGATCAATATTTTTCGTATTTAATTGACTTTCTTTTGATTTAAAGTTGTTCCTGTTTTTCGTCACTTTTTTCACTTTGAGGAAATGAGTGACTGTTTGGATTCACATTATAGCAATTATACAGTTTTCAGGACATGTCGTTATACGTTCGCAAGGTGGTGTTCAAGCTTCATGAGAGCTATACGAATCCAACGAGAAGCAAGTTGATTTTGAGTTGTTCGTTGTAGTTATAGTTGTATTTCTTCTGTTTTTCAGTAGTCTTAGAGCCTCCCTATGAAATACACGAGACCGGTTGGGGTGAATTCGAAGCAGTTATTAAGATCTTCTTTCATGACACGAACGAAAGACATGTACTTTTTAAATTTAAGGCATAATTTTGATTCTACTATAGTCCGTTTGATTTTCAGGTGAACATCTATCATATCATCCGCCTGTTTGATACAGACCCTTTGGTAATGTCGGGACAAAAGTCACTAGTTCGTGAGATGTACGATGAAATAGTAAGTTAAAAGCGATGGAAGACCTTTAAATCTTCTATAAAGTATTTTGTACTTCTGTATTGTATTACAGTTTGCATTTTGTTGTTTTCATGAGTTTAGTTCTTGTGAGTTATAATTGAGAAATTCTCTGTATAATGAAATCTGCATGACGAACTTCAAGGGACAAACTTACACGAGGAGTTAGATATACCACGTCAGCGAAAGTCGCTTAATGAAAGTCCCAAACATTGAATCGGAATACGTGTGTCCAGCTGTTATCTTTTTGACCATAATTTACGGACAATGAGCACATTAGTACTTGCTTTAAATTTTGCTTCAAGTGACATCCTGAAACAGATGTATTGAACCAAAGCACTCTTTATCTTTCAAGACTATGAATCAAGTTGTTTTTCAAGTTTTTCGTTTATTTGTTTAGTTGTTTCAAGAACCGACTGTGTACATGTACAACTTGCTGAAATTGAGTCAGACACCGCCGGTTATTAATGTTCATTCAACAGACTGTAAGTTTTTGTGCTGCTGCGACTAAATCCTTCTGTTTTGTCTGTAAGTTGTCCGTTTTATTGCAGTTGAGGCCAAGAAGCAAAGTATGCTCAAAGCGATTTTGAATGGCAGAAATGAAATCAGGGCTGAAATAAACGATTTTAAGGTAAGCAAATTCTTTTCGTATTTTAAAAATTTATTTTACATTTTTACGTTTTCGCTGCATCAAAAGCTGCTTATAAAGTTAAGCATCGTTCAAT